TTTATTTAAAAAGTAAGTGACTTTTCAAATTGCCCTCGTATGTTTAGCATTCACGCATTATTTAAGCAACAGGCCGAATTTTTCCTGAAATTTTTGGTGTAAGTTTATAACACAAATGAAGAGGCCTACTAAACGCCACCGAGGAATGGGAATCCTTTTTCTTTTTTGAGAACCCTTTTCATGGTAGAAATAAACTGCAGAGTTTGCTAGTTTGGTGTTGAAGCTGGGTCCTCCCGAGTGGTAGTATCCACCTCTTACCACTCTAAATCCAAATACAAGATAGCTATTTTGTTACTTAAATTGTCCCTAAAAAGTACACATAAACTAAGTAAATAAGTGGTTTTTAGAGCCATGCATAGATTTTAAGAAGAAAAATCTTAAAAACAAATACCATGGGGCGTGTTTCTTTTACTCATCTCCACAGAATATTTGGCACATTGACACCATCATTATTTTGGTCACATATAAGTACTATGTATGTATGTGAATGGACGCCGAAGAAGAATCTCAGCTGAGCAAAAGAAAAATCTCATAAATGAGATATGTAAACAACAACAAATGTTAGATTTCTAACTTTAGTTCTTTGCCCAGTGCAAGTGCATGTTCTATTCTTGCACTCGTGTGCAGGTTATGCAGTGCCGGATTGGCAACATAGCAAAAGCCAAGAAAGATAGAGGACAAGATTGCGCCAATTGAGCTGACAGCAACCGAGCGTGACGTCACTAAATACCAGAATGAGAGAGCAGAGACGAACTCAACAAGAATAAGAGGAAGAATCGAACAAAAGGCAGTGTTGCAAATTTTTTAATTTGAAAAGGCACGCAAATCCAAAAAAAATCACCAAATTTGTATTGGTGTATTTAATGGACTTTATGTGCATAAAAAATTTGAATGGGGACTCTAGAAGGGTTTGCAGAAGAATGGGCAGTTTAAACTTTTTAACTAGTACAAAATTGTGTAGTGTAATTAAATGTTTTTAAATGGCTTAAATTGCATTTGATAACTACTTAGATTTCTTAGGTTACATTTTTATAACACCGTGTGAGACAGTCAATTTTGGCTTAAATTGCATTTGATAATTACTTAGATTTCTTAGGTTACATTTTTATAACACCGTGCGACAGTCAATTTTACACACGAAAAAATCCATATATTCACAAAACTGGGGCCAAATATAATAAAATTGCGTTCTTACTTTTTTTCTCTGACGTCAGGATTTTTTTAAAAGACTTTGAAATATCTTGAATATGATTGAATCAAAAAAATTATTCAAAAGATTCGGTGCATTGAAGAATAACAATATGGGCATCAATTAAAAAAAAATCTGCAGAATAGAAACAAAATTAGTTTTTGGGTGCACCAGGACGAATAAGTATTGAAAATGTCCTTCTAAATCTTTATCCTTGAATATCCTTCGAAATTTGCAATATTTATTTTTGAAAAAATATATGTCAAGGTCTAATATGTCAACTACCATATCCTCGAATTTCGTCCTTCTAGTTTTATTACTTTTAGATAAAAAAAAATTTACACTTCTCTTTATAAGATATTGATAGTAACAATATTAATAAATGAAGATCCTGCAATCATTATTATGGAACCATGTATGCGCTCTAAAAGAACGAAGATGTACGATTTCAATTAATAGAGGAAAAATATTTTGAATTTAATTTTTTTTTCTGTACATATGTATATGAATAGAAATTTTTGGGTTTAAGAAAGTATACGTTTCCTGGTGTTATTTACAACGATACTAATTTTTTAAAAATCTTTTTGTATCTTATTTTGTTTAAAATATTTTTTTTTTTATAAAAAAAGGTATTTTTTGCTTTTAAGTGTTTATTCTCAATTTTTTATATGTGAAGAATACAAATATGCATACCAGAAGATGAGGCCTTTAATAGCCTTTACAACGATACCAAATATTTAAAAATTGGTTAGTAAATTTTTATTTTTATAAAAAAAGGTATTTTTTCTTTCAAAATGTTTTTTCTCAATTTTTTATCTACGAAGTATACAAATATACATATCAGCAGAGAGAAGGTTTGATTGTGTTTGCAACGATATCAATTTTTTAAAAATCGGTTAGTAGTTTTTTTGTTAAATTTTTTTTTATAAAAAAAGTATTTTTTCTTTTTAAATCTTTTTTTCAAATTTTTACATACAAAGTATACTAATACGCACATCAGAAGAAAGGAGGTTCAATAGCGTTTACAACGATACCCAATTTTTTTAAATCAGTTCAACATTTTTTAAAATATAAGGTTTTTATTTTTTTGAAGGCCCGACCTTTGACCCCTTATGGCACCTGTAATATAGGTTTGCACAAAAGAAGTTATATACCATTTAAATAATAGCAAAACGTTGACTACGGCTATATTTTTAGTTTTTTAGTTATTTACATATAATAATAAAATATAATTATTTACCAAAGGTCCTATTTCGAACTTTTAAGCCCATTTCTCGATTTTCTTTTACTTTTTACCTATGACTCTATCTCTTAAAAAAAAAAATGATTTGGTCTAATATACAGCCGAGTGCTGTCCAGTATCTTCATTTCTTATAAAGATAAGTGTAAATTTTTTTTTATATAAAACTAATAAAGCTAGAAGGACGAAATTCAAGAATGTGGTGGTTTACATATTAGTGCTTGACATATATTTTTATCAAAAATTAATATTGATAATTTCCAAGGATATTCAAGGATAAAGTTTTAAAAGGACACTCTCAAAACTTATTCGTCCTGGCGCACCAAAAAATTAAATTTTTTTCCATTCCACAGATTTTTTTCCTTTTAATTAATACCCATATTGTTATTCTACAATTCACCAAATCTTTAAAATAATTTTGTTATGTAATCATATCCTAGAAATTTCAAAGTCCTTTAAAAAAAAATCCTGATGTCAGAGAGAAAAACTAAAAACAGAGTTTTACTATATTTAGCTCCTTGTTTTGTGAATGTATTGATTTTTAGTGTGTTTTAAAATTTTTTGGTTTTTGTCGCACGGTGTAATAAGCGTTAAGGTGTCCCATTATTCATTTCCTCACTATGTAGATACATTTTCCAATTTTTTTTAAGAAAAATTTATAAATAGGTAAATTAATTTTTTTTCGAATGTTTGAGTTTCGACTTGAGCGATTATTACTTATGGCCACAAACATATACACATTCATATATCCATAGGCAGATGCTATAAGGTTTTGTGCTTTTTACATGCAGACAAGCTGCTTTTATTTACATCGCTTTTATTACCTTTTTACTATGCTCTATTTTTGTTTTGGATAGACGGCAAACAAGCCGATAAACAAATATACATATATGTATATGAACATATTTTCAAATATACATACATACAAATATATGTTTACTGTGAAAAGGTGATGTGTTTATGCTCTATAATTGTGTATATGCATATGTATATACAAACATATTTATACATACATACATACATACATACATATGAACATACATCGTTGAATTAGCTTATAATTGCGATAAGTAAACAACAAAAACGATAAGTTCATTTCAGTTTCGATTCTTTGCCGCTGCGAATTCCATTTGTTGTTGCTTACTTGTAATTTTTGTTTAGACTTTCTCTGTCATGTAATAATTAAGTAATTATAAAGGAAATTGTTTATAGACAGGAAATAATAATCGATTGGCATGCGAATAAATGCAGATACATATATTCAGTGTTTACCGAAAAGAGAAGGGGAGTGACATCATATAAACGAGAGAACGTATGGAAACATTTTATTTGTTATTTTGAGCAGAAAATATCGATTATTATTACTTCTTTATGTTTATTTTTTGGGCAAAATAGGAGACACAATTTACCTGATAATTTAAGATACGAGTGCGATCCTTCGAAAAAGTCGTCAAATGGTCCTGAACTAGTCCCAAAATATTCTTAAAATAATCCTAGCTAGTCTCGAAATGATTCAGAACTTCGTATGTATCCCCAAAACGGTCCTCAAATACTCGTCGACTAGCGGAGATGTTCTTGAAGAGGTCCGGAAGCGATTCCGGAATTGTCCCGAACGAGTCCCGAAATGGTCCCAAGTGGTCCTAAAGTAATCCCGAACTTGTCGCGAAAGGTTAATTTGTACTTACAAGGCACAATTACAGATTTCCTGCTGGCTACAAATTTTTGCTTGGTTACGGCAAATTATACACGTAGCGAGAGCCTAACCTATTTATTATGTAGTACTTTAATAAAATAAAAGGCGAAATATTGGCATTCAAATACTAAAACAATGTATCATACATGCTCCTAATATAAAAAAAAAAATTACTTATAAGCTCTCGTTTTCTTTTCTTTCAGAACGTCTGCAAATCAAACTTCCAACCACAACTCACGCCCACATTTGCTACGTGAAACGTCCCAATAACAAAACCAAGGCTTGCCGCGAAAAAAATTCGAAATCGAAATCTTACAAATAATAAAACACATGAATACATAAATAAATAAGTCTTATAACGGGATTGCGTATTCGAAACCTAACTAATAAAGTCAGCTTTGTTTCAAATCTCTCATTATTAAATAGGTATTTCATATAAAAATCGAATTCGTACAACGCAGCTATTCTAATAGCAGTCAATGATGCAATACACAACCAAAACATGCCGCTTCCCAGTTTAGTGCAGCACACCTCGCACAGTAGAGCGATTAGGTCCACACAGTGAAGCGCACATGCTTTATTAGATAACAAAATATACATAGTTACATAAGTAACAGCAGCTTGAAGCAAAACTCAAAAAGCAACAAAAAAAAAATCCTCTTACCAATTAAATAAATTAGCTCATATCTCTGTAAAATGCGTAGTTAAAGTCATAGTAATCAGTTAATCAATAATTAATAGTAAGCGTCTACTTTGGGCGCTAGTACGCAAAATATTTTAAACCATACATATATTCATAATAAAGCACGAGCTTCCTAGTAAAGACCTCATCATTAAAAACAACAAAAAACCAAAGGCCCGAGATATATCAAAGGATAAGTTTTTATTGGTAAACTCACAGAAAGCTGAAAGGCATCATACAAGCACAGAATGTAGAAAGCATCCAACTGTATAAAATAAAAGAAAAACCACATCAAATAGCAAACGAACTCACTACACAGCTTCAGCTCAAATCACACAACTAGGATAGGAGTAGCACAGCAGTTATCAACTTAAGCGAGCACAGCATATATTGCCCAACACGCCTGCAACCACCCACACATTAATATACAGACACTTGCGAACGCCCGAGTAACCGTCCAGTTTACGAGACACACCAGAGCCAACGAAATAGACGTAGCGACAAGAGCACAATACAGCTGCATCTGGTACCACCGCGGTCTTGAAAGTTGGTGTTTTTGTCAAAATTACAACAGACTTAAGAATTACTTTACTTAAAAGCGCGCTGCTCAAAGCAACCGCATGGCGAATTCCATCGTCGCATAAACGGTCCATAGAAGAAACCAGCGTACTTCAGGAAAATAAATCTATAGAGATAATATACTTCAGAATGGGTTCTTTTATCATGAGTAGAAAACACAGCCGTGATCGTACGCTGATCGCGATCTTTTGTCTGCTCTTGGTGTGCACAACAACGCTCAGACTTGTCCAAGGCGCAGAGTCGCCCAACAACGGCACATCAAATGCAGCCGTTGACAACAAACCCGATGATAAGGTGACTCGTAATACGAACAAAGAGGAGGCGAACTCGGACGTAAGTGCTGTTGCTGAAGCCGGCAGTGCCGGTAGTGGTGGTGGAGGAGGCAAGGGCGTTGGCGGTGACACTCCGAATGATATTCAAAATGATGCCAATGTTGGCGGCAATGATGGTGATGATGATAACGCTGGCGTTTCGGAGGCCAATTCGAATGAGGGCGATAATGTCACCGCCTTGTCGCAGCACAGTGGCAGTTCATTGCAATGCAAAGACGGTCTGCTGCTTAAAGCTTGGATGCCAATCGACAATGTGAGTACCGGTGATCGCGTTGCGCGGGGCCTTGTGTACTTCCTAGCGATGACGTATTTGTTCATTGGCGTTTCAATTGTGTCAGATCGTTTTATGGCGGCGATTGAAGTGATCACGTCCAAGGAGAAGGAGGTAGTTATCAAGAAGAAGGGCGGCGAAACACAGGTTGTCGTGGTGCGCGTCTGGAATGAGACCGTAGCTAATTTGACGCTGATGGCGTTGGGTTCCAGTGCGCCGGAGATTCTTCTGTCCGTTATCGAAATGTTTCAAAAGGGCTTCGAGGCTGGTGACTTAGGTCCGGGTACAATAGTCGGCTCGGCCGCTTATAACCTATTTGTGATTATCGCCATTTGTATTGCGGTCATACCGAACGGGCAGGTACGAAAGATCAAACATTTGCGGGTATTCATTGTGACGGCCGCATGGTCGCTATTCGCCTACGTATGGCTGTATTTAATTTTGGCACAAATTTCGCCAGGCCGTGTCGAAGTATGGGAGGGTTTGTTAACATTCATTTTCTTCCCCACTACCGTGCTGACGGCTTATATAGCCGACAGACGTTTGTTGATTTATAAATATCTTGACAAGAATTACCGCATGAATAAGCGGGGCGTTATTGTGAGCGCTGAGGGCGACGCCGTACTCGAGATGAATCGTCATGAAAGTATTAAGGAACTGGCAGAGAACGAAGAAATGAAGGACTTCGAGGATGCGCGACGTGAATACATTTCAACGCTGAAAGAACTGCGCAAGAAGTACCCACAAAGCGATCTGGAGCAATTAGAAATGATGGCTCAGGAGCAATTGATCAATCGAGGCCCCAAATCGCGCGCTTTCTATCGCATACAAGCCACTCGTAAGATGATGGGCAGCGGTAATATAATGCGCAAAGTCCAGGAGCGTGCTCTTACCGATCTAAACGAGGTGAAAGCACAGCTGCAGCGCGTCGAAGTGGAGGCCGAAGAAGATGATACGACGGTACGCATCTGCTTCGAGCCCGGCCACTACACTGTCATGGAGAGTTGTGGCGAATTTGAGTTGCGCGTCGTGCGACGCGGTAATCTATCCGGTTATACGACGGTTGAATATCAAACGGAAGACGGTTCCGCCGAGGCCGGTAGCGATTATATTGGCAAAAAGGGTGTGCTCACTTTTCCGCCGGGTGTCGATGAGCAACGTTTCAAGATCGAAGTTATTGATGATGACGTATTCGAGCAAGATGAACATTTTTATGTGCGTTTAAGTAATCCGTCAGATCCGGCAATTTTGGCAGTACCAAAAGTAGCTACTGTTATGATACTTGACGACGATCATGCTGGCATTTTCGCCTTCAATCAAAAGACACACGAGTTTGCAGAATCCATTGGCACATATGACCTGAAGGTGCAGCGTTATTCGGGCGCACGTGGTAAGGTGATCATACCATATTGGACGGAGGATGGAACTGGGAAGGCGGGCAAAGATTACGAGCCAGTGCAGGGAGAGTTGGTCTACGAAAATAATGAAACTGAGTAAGTACAAAAGTGTGTAAGCCATTGAGGCTATCTATTTTAACTATGAGGGTGCAATAATCTACTGATAATGAATCTACACAAGCCTGTATAAATAACAGGCTCCGATATGATGGAAGCGCTTAGTAAAATCTTGGTCCATTAAAAAATAAATAAATTATCAACTTAGGAAAACTCTAACAGGAATGCTCTTTGAGATCTTTTCTATCGTCGAAATATTACATATGTACATATAAATATACTTAACTGTTTATAATTCAATTATTTTCCAGGTTTCATAACATAGCTCATATTCCGCTGCGTAAGGCCAATAAGAACTATTTAAAGTAGGGGGAATATCATTACTGAATATAAAATAGTTAAATATTAATGACCTTATTCATAAAAAATAAAGTAGGTTTAAAGAGCTTTATAAACTGACGTTTTCATACATTTTTCAATTTATAAACCTTTTATAAAGCTACTTTATTTTTTATGAATAAGGCCATAAAAGTTTTATGTATTTACGTATTTTATTTCGAACATTTTATCATAAGAGGGCGGCCAAGTTTTTGTTTTTTTTTTTTTTGTATAAAACCCCAATTCCATGATACATCATTGTCTTCAATGAAAATTGTAGGTGACTCTAATATGCTTCAATGGGTACCGAATTATCGCGGATCTAGAATTTTTCAAATTTTGGGTTGACTTGATTTCCACCACAGAGGAAGTCTTTCTATTGCACTGTTATATGTGCAATAAGATCGCAATAGGTAAGATATGCACATTTCCTTTTGTAGGGTAAAACAATTTCGTGACTCATACTTCAGCTGACTAACTTAACGCATTTAACAACAAAAAGATGCAAGGACAGATATATGTACACCTCTAGTGGAATTGAAAAAAAAAACACGAACATTTTAATATTATTAAAAGCTCAAAAGCTCAAAAGTTATAGATTCAAGCACTCACAGTCCCAAAAAGTACACGGTGCGCTGTAAGTCACCTCCAAAATTTTATCAATTCATTTAAAATTTTATATTTCCTAGTTTTTAGCCTATTCGCGTATTTCTAGGAGGTGAGAGCGAGGGTTTGAAATAAAGGCCACCTTACGTATAGTATAGACTTACCAACCAACATGAAGCAGAGTAAGAAAAATGCTGGTTTTAATTATGCGAATGTCAAGGGTTTACTCGTATACTGTCAATTTATGTCCAAAGGTTCTAACTTTTCTCATATAACTATACTTAACGACATATGTACATACTTTTCATGCAACTATGTATGTACATATGTGAGTATAAAAATTTATTAAAGAACATCAAATGCAATGACTTAAATATGCTTGACAAGTATGAATGCAGGTGATACTTAAATAGCTGCATCCAGCGCAGTTTAACGAAGTTTATAAAAAAAAGTTTCATGAATGCAGAGGTGCTTGTGTTTTCAGAGCTTACCGTTTATAAAGGTCATACAAATATGCATATGAAGTTCTCTACGTACATACTATATATACTCACATACATATGTATGTAAGTATATATGTAGAAAAAAGTGGATATGATCTAGCTCGGATTTATAGGCATGCAAAAAAAAATACTGGATTGTGTACAAGCATATGTACATAAATGCGTATGCACACATTTATGTACTCTTATATATACGGGTATGTACGTTTGTGTGTATGCATTGCAATTAAACGAAACCATAAAATT